CCCCTCTCACTCTAGGTCAGAGGGGAGTGGGAAGCTGGGATTGGGGGAGTTCAGCCTCTGTTTCCAGGAGGCTACAGGCACTGGGCAAGGACACCCCCAGAGTCTGTCACAGTCTTGGCCCAAACTCTGCCCTAGGGAACAGCTTTGTCAGGCACAATGCTCGCCAGCTGACCCGTGTGTATCCACTGGGTCTGCGGATGAACTCGGCCAACTACAACCCCCAGGAGATGTGGAACTCAGGCTGTCAGCTGGGTGAGTAAGGGCCACGGGGGCCACAGGAGTGGGGCAGGCAGATGCCATTAGGTAGGTGTAGCCTCTGGGCAGCCACGGGAAGGGGCCACATAGCCTTCCAGAAGATAGAAATATGCATCCTGTTAACAACAATTATTTTAAAAGCTGTTTCTATAATTTTAGAAATTTAAAAGTATGGGCACACATACCTGGCAGCCCTACTAAGTCAAGACTGACAGGGTTAGGCTCTGGGGGACACCGAGTCCTGCCAAAGGAGGGTAGCATGGTCCCTTTGGGGCTAGTTATGGAAACCCCAGGACTTCTCAGGCCTTGGCTCTGACCCAGGCCTAGCCCTGAGAGTGGGGACCTTTCTAGCACCTCAGCCCAGCCCCATCATCCACACTTGAGATAGCAGGGAGAAGGTACAGGTGACAGTAGGATTAGGTCCCCTTGCTACTATGACCCCCTTCCTGCAAGTCATGGTGGGGGCAGATATCTCTGACCAGATAGTAGGATGCTGGGCCTCTGTGCAAAGAGCTGTGTCCTCTCTAGCCAAGTCGCCTGAAACTGGGCAGTGAGGAGAGGGCCACTAAAAGCCCCTGCTTAATCCTGTTTGTCCACAGTGGCCCTGAACTTCCAGACACCAGGTTATGAGATGGACCTCAATGAAGGGCGCTTCCTCATCAATGGGCGGTGTGGCTATGTCCTGAAACCTGCCTGCCTACGGCAACCTGACACAACCTTTGACCCCGAATGCCCTGGACCTCCCAGAACTACTCTAACAGTCCAGGTCAGCAGCGTGGACCAAGATCCAGCCTCGGGTCAGGGCTCTTTCTGGAGAGGCACCAGTCTGAAGTAGAGGAAGACCAGGAGGCCAGGGCGGCCTGGTGTGAGAGTGGCCTGAGTGTCTGTGTCCACACAGGCACGGTTGGCTTGCATGTAGATAGGGCCAGAGGCTTCCTGTCCTGGCAGGGGAGCAGGAGTGGGCATGGCCCCATTAGGGGCCCCGTCAAAGCTCCCTGCCTCCCTTCCCCAGGTACTAACTGCCCAGCAGCTGCCCAAGCTGAATGCTGAGAAGCCCAGCTCCATTGTGGACCCCCTGGTGCGTGTGGAGATCCATGGGGTGCCCGCAGACTGTGCTCGGAAGGAGACCAGCTATGTGCTCAATAATGGTGGGCAGGTGGGCCCATGGGTGGGAGTAGGGGACAGACACAAACAGCAGAGGAGGAAGGCACAGGGCAGGCCCTGGGGCCAACTGGGCCCTGACAACTACACCTGTGCCCTAGGTTTCAATCCCCACTGGGGCCAGATCCTGCAGTTCCAGCTGCGGGCCCCAGAGCTGGTGCTGGTGCGGTTTGTGGTAGAAGATTATGATACCACCTCCCCAAATGACTTTGTGGGCCAGTTTACACTGCCTCTCAACAGCCTGAAGCAAGGTTGGTGGAAGCTGGTAGGGATGGAACAGGATGGGGTCCCAGCCTCAAGCCCTGTTCACCTTTGACCCTTGACTTCCCTATGTGGCCCTCCCTGAACCAGGCAGGAGTTGGGTCCAAGGATCTGATGCCTGGCTGCTGTCCCTACAGGGTACCGCCACATCCACCTGCTTTCCAAGGATGGGGCATCACTGTCCCCTGCCACACTTTTTGTCCACATCCGCATCCAGCGCTCCTGAAGGATTAAAGGACCACCCCAGGGTTCTGCGGGTACCAGTCTGCACAGAGCCCTCTCTTCCCCCGGAACGAGGACTAGTGGGAGCAACAGTCCCTCCAGTGCTCCCACCTGGCCGGCTCAGCAGCTGCTGACTTCACTGGGTGCTGAGGGCTACCCGGCCCCTCCTGGGCCACTAGCAGAGGATCTGTGCCCTTAAGACACTCACTTGACATCAGTGGGCTCCAACCCTGGGGTCTTGAGATGGCTCCAGCTCTTCTGGTCCTCAGCCCACATCCTCATCATGACTTATAAGAAGGCAGGCCTATAGCTGTCAGGAGACTTGGGAAGCAGGACACCTTTAAGCCCTCAGCTCTTCTGACCTCTGGCAGGGCCATCCACCCCACAGAGCTGTCTCCCTGTCCCCCCACCCCAGGAATTAGCCTACCCTAAAGCCCTCCGGCCCCAAGCTTTCCTGGCTGCCTCCTCCTGCTCTCCAACCTGAGCTTCTCCCTTGGCTTCACTTCCTGGAGCAAGAAGGGAATGTTGAGGTGGAGCCCTGGGGAAACCTGGCAGTAGGTTTGTAACTTGTCACAGAAGAGCCCTGGAGAGGGGCTGGGGCTGTAGCTCAGTGGAGAGCGCTTGCCTAGCATGTGCGAGGCCCTGGGTTTAATCCTCAGGACCACTAAAAAACTATTAAAAAACAAACAAACAAAAAGCCTTGGAGAGGGCAGGGAGAGTGTCTGTTTTGAAAAATAAAGAAGCAAGTTTCCCTTACCACCCCCATGCCATAGCACCTCTGAACCACAACACTGGCCCCGAGGGATGGCTGCAGCGAGCCCCAGCAGGGCTTGGACTGTCTAAGATAGCCTGGAGTGGCTGTGGGAGATGCCATGGCTCAAAATAGCTCTGACCGCTGCGCTTGACTTAAAAGCTGCTTCGAGTATCACAAATCTGTCTGAAGACACTAATTCATAAGGTCACCCACTCCCCTACCACATACCAGTGACCTTAAATGGGGCACAGGGCAGTACTCTGAGGGAACCCCACTTTCCAGGCTCAGCTGGGTTCAGGACCCATCCGCTCAGTTGAGCACACCCCAAGAACAGGCAAACGGCCTCACAAATGAAAGCGTGGAAAGTGGCAGCGCTCTAGGCCACCTCTGTAACAATGCGGGGAGAGGAAGCAATATACCGGAGGTCAGGATCCAGAGAAAACCTGGGGCTCACGCCTGTCAAAAGAAGGAGTTTATGGGACCATGGAGCTGTGGTATTTTAGTTTCCACCAGGCAACATCACCAGTACGGGACAAGGGCAGTCAGGAAGGTGGTTTCCACAGGGTGGGCTGGGCTAGGCCTTGAATTGGCCCCAAGGCCTATAGGAACCAAAACCCAAGGCTAGGCCAATCTCTACCTCCCTTCAACCCTGGGAGTGCCTCCATACTTTACCACTGGGCCACATCCCCAGCCCTTTTTATTTTTCATTTTGAGACAGGATTTCACTAAGTTGCTTAGGCCCTCCCTAACTGCTGAGGCTGGCCTAGAACTTGTGATCTTCCTGCCTCAGCTTCCAAGTCACTGGGATTACAGGTGTATGCCACCATGCCCAGCCTGCTCCTGGTTCTTAATAGGAGAGGAGTTTGGTTCTGATAAATTGGAGTATCTGAAAGAGGATGACCAGAATCTGAAGGTGCCCAGAATGGATGGGCCAGGCAGCCCAGGGACTGGTGCACACAGCTGTCAGGAAGGCCAGATGGCCAACTTACAACCCAGGGCGCCAAATCTAGTTTGGTCTATAGGGACAGTTCTGTTCAGGGCCTGGCATGCACAGGCCCAGGGCTGAGCCCCCATCCTGCTTCTTGTTTCTGGTTTGGTGTTGCAAAAGGAAGGGTTGACAGCTAGGACAAGAGCCCAGAGCTGGGAAACCGCATTGAAAGGGCCAGTCCCTAAGACTAGGAAGGTGACAGGAACTGAACAAATATGAATGGTGGAAACAAAGAAGAAATCAGCTTTATTCTTTTTTTGGGTGGCAGGGGTATTCAACCATTGGGCTAAATCCCCAGCCTATTTTGTGTCTTATTTAGAGACAGGGTCTCACTGAGTTGCTAAATGCATCACCATTGCTGAGGCTGGCTTTGAACTCATGATCCTCCTGACTTAGCCTCCTGAGCCACTGGGATTATAGGCATGCACCACCGTGCCTGGCTGAAATCAACTTTATTCTTGGAAGTCCCTGGAGACCATCCATAGGGCTGTATTCTAGCCAAAGCTCAGGGCAGGAATAAGGGATGAGCATTGGAGAAACAGAGTGACCTGGTCATGGGCAAGGCCTGGGATACAAGGTAAGGGCATAGGAACGAGGGTTAGGCAGCTCTTATGTCAGTTCCCTGGAAAGAACTTGGAGATAACAGCCATGGGGAGCTGGAGAAGATCATGGGATGAGGGAATGGAAAAGCTCCAAAGGAAAAGAACTGGGGGATGGGATGGGGAATTCTAAATGCAGTTCTTGGGTCCTAGCAATGTCACATTTAAAAAGCATCCCTGGGGCTGGGGATGTGGCTCAAGTGGTAGCGTGCTCGCCTGGCATGCGTGCGACCCTGGTTTGATCCTCAGCACCATATACAAACAATGATGCTGTGTCTGATAACTAAAAAATAAGATTTAAAAAAATTTTAAAAATAAAAATAAAAAGCATCCCTGGTGGGCTCAGTGGTAGAGCTCCTATCCAGCATGAGTAAGGTCCTGGGTTTCATCCCTAGCAACACCAGAGTTGGGGAGGCATGCCCCTCATAGCTCAATAGAGCCACTCAGCTTGTGTCCCATGAGGGGATGTGGTATCCTGACATTCTGGCAGGGTGTAGTGCCTGTATCCTCCTGTGAGAAGCCACTCTGACTATCAAACTGCTTGATGCTCTTATGCCGTTACTCCTCTGGAGAACCTGGCTCTGTCCTGGTTCCTCTCTAGTGGTGAGAAGAGCCAAGTATGTGCTGGAAGAAGGTCTTCCAAACCTGGCCTAGTATCATGGTTCCTGGGGGCCTTTATTATCACCCTTGCTCTAGCCCAGCCCCATGATTCATCTGTTTTACTGCCACCTGCTGACCAGAGGAATACCAGGAGGGCAGATCGATTTATTCAGCTGCTTCCTTTATTAGAAACAAGTGAGATGTACTGAGCAGAACAACAATGCATTTGGTATTTCCTCTCCACCCCAGAAATGGATGCCCCCTACAGCCCAAGAAAAACCAAGACAAAAAGGTGAAGCTTGCCCTCTCTGTTCCCAGATGCAGCCCTGCCTGCCAGCCAGTCAATGTTTTTGAGTTTAATTAAATGAAACTGTCCTAAATAGCCTCACCCTGGTATAGTCTATTTGTAGGCCTGCCTTTGCTTTACTGCTAGGCAAAAGTGAGGCCTTGAGTCTCCCTGATTCTGGGGCAGGGAGGCCAGGCCTCAAGAAGGCTGCCTCCAAGAGACACTCCTGCCTCCTTCCCTGACCTGACAGTCCTAGATCACAGTTCTATGAAACTGTCCAAGGCCTCAGGTTAGTTAAATGCTCGTCATCTTTGGGGAAAGAATTCTAGACCATGAGATATCTGCCTTTGGACTTCAGAGACCCAGTAAGTTGTAGGCAGTCAGTTGTAGGCAAGGCCTGAAATTTTCCATTAAAAAAGGGTGTTGGAGTAGCTTGGTGTGGGCCAGCCTTCAGACATCAGCATCTTCAGAAACAGGCACATGTGGGGAAAATGAGCCTTATGTAGGCCCCAATCCAGAGTTAAGGCCTCCTTTCTATCCGGCTCTCTCCCTACAGAGTCGGAGTCCAAGGTCAAATAGAGTCAATCCAGAGACAGGAGATAAAGGTCATCTTCAGAATATGGCAGCCAGGAGGACTAGGTGGCAGAAGGTGGTGGCCAGGCCCAGAGAGGTTTTCCAACATGGCTGCCTGAGCAGGTCAGCTTGGAGGCGCTGTTCTTCCCTTGTTTGGTTCAAGTCAGTCATGGTGCCACCAAGGCTCCTATAGGAGGTCCTGAACCCTCTCTTCTGATGATGATGCTCCCTGGCCTCAAATTCCAGAAGGGGTTGAGTGAAGAACCCAGGGTCTAAGTTTAATCAGAAATGAAACTCAACAGTAGCCCTGAGCTGTCTCCTGCAGACCTGGACAGGTCCCCACCAGGGGAAAACAGCCGAGTCCCAGGAGCAAGTGACCTGGTTTTGGGGAAGGAGAAGCTAGAGTCTTTGCCAAGAGATCTGTTTCTTCCAGAGCAGCCACTGGGGACTCAATATTCCCTTTCCATGACCAGGTCAACAAAAGCAAAGCTCACTCAAGATTTGTGTACTCCAAATCTTAGGGGCAACTTGAGCTGTGACTTGGCTCAGAACTGATCAAGATTAAGACAGGGCATCTTTCCAACATTCTAAGTCTCCTCTAGGTAGGAAAGACCTGAATACTTTGTTCTTTGACTTCTGAGGGGTCTGATCAGGGTTAACTGCTCTGGTACTTGGGGCACTGTGTCTACTGTCTGCAAGTCTGGAAGGCAAGCCTCCACCTCTCTGACTCCTCCTGTCTGTGAGATTCAGTATGCTTCACGCCAAGAATGGCAGCTTCTTTGGTCTGGGTATCTTGGAGTCAAGGAGTCAAAGGTCAGCCACTTTCGCTGGTGCCTGCAGTTTGCAGCACAGGATAGTGGGAAGAAGGGAGCCCCTAGAAACCTGATAAAAATCCACCACAGTGGAACTGCAGCAGTAGTCTGCAGAGAGCAGACGGCACTCCCACGGTGGTACAGCTCCCATCCCCAGCAAACAATTCCCTCCAGTTTTGGAGACTCTGCAGAATTAGGTTCCACACAAAAACCCATGGCTTGAAGCAAACCTGTTATCCTACAGAATGGCTTCAGTTTGTGCACTGACACTAAGTCTGGCTCCTGGCTAAGGCTCTCTACAAGAGGCCAAGAGGTGAAAGCAGCAAGAAATCCCCCCGCCACACATTATGCCATCTACTCAGGACTTTTTCCTAGAGCAATTTATGTGGAAACTAGATGTGGGCTGCTGACGGTTCCAGAGCCCAATCTTCCACAGGCCACTTGGCTCAACACCACTGAAGAATGTCTACGTGGACAGCCATGTGACCAGGGGCTTGATCACTTTTGGAGAAACTGGCAGCATCTATCACAACCACCACAAAAATCCACAAAATAGCATCAGTGAAAATTAGACTCAAACAATGGCTACATGGAAACCATTTCTGTGGCCAATATCTGTCTCTAATCACCACCTCTTGCTGCCACTGTAGGTTGTGTGTCCTAAAAAAGACACAGCAAGAAATGGCTAGTGGGCTGAAGAAGGCACAGGCCAGGGGCTGGTGGCTGAAGGAGTCTGGGTATTGGCCCCATGCCATCCCTGCCCAGCCACCCTGGGGACAGGAGGGTGCTTACTGTTGGCTCTCTGAGATGAGCTAAGCACGGTTTGCACTGATATGGTCTCTACCAAGTCCCAGACACTACAAGGAGGTTTAAGGTCCCCTTCAAACTGCCAGTCACCCCAGTCATAGAAAGGCAAAGTCTCACAGGGGATGCATCCCTGCAAGGCTGGCAACAAGAGCTCTTTTAAATACTTGACAGGATGATCTCCTACAGGGAGCAGGTCAAGGGGAGGGAAGAAGGGACTCAATGAATGAAACCTGCTTTCATGATTGTCCCCACTGCTCAGTATTAGAACACAGCTTCACCCAGCTGCACCTGCCAGCCTGTGACATACGAGTCCTCTAGAGCTGGCAGAGTCCCTTCACCTTCCCTCCCTGCTCAAGCCAATCAGTCACTGTAGCTGATTCCAAAGGGAAATGGAATAAAGTTCCCCAGATCCTCTTTTTCCTGCTCCCCCAAAAAAAGCCTCTGAAGGAAGAAACTGTGCCAACATGTCTGTCTGCCACTGTCCCTGGGTTCTAATTTTAAGGAATGACTGGATTCAGTTTTTCATTAGAGACCAAACATCCTCGCACATTTGGAACATGAAAGATATTTAAAATATTTATATATATATAATATATATATACTTTTATTATTCACCCGTTAACTCCATAATATGCCAATCGCAAGCTAGTTTTCAGCAGTTACATTCCCTTGATCACGGCTGCATGAGGATGTGATTAAGTGGAAAACAGGGAGACCAGAGACACGGCCAGAAGTGACTTCACGCAGCCTATGCCATTGCAATACAATTGTCAAGTTCACTGGCGGTTTGGTAAAGCCGGTTCAGTTCTGTTCCCTTTGCCAGGGATTCTCACGTTTGTGAAAATTAGACCAACAAGTGGTAGGGTTCCATTTCCTGGTTTGAATTCTCAGTGGCTTTGTCCAGAATCTCACTGGCGACTGGTTACTGTAACACCAGCCCGACCTAGGAGTCAACAGGGAGAGGCAGAATTGAGTTGACAGTGCCCAGGACTCTCCTGCCTCCCCACTGTCCTAAAGTTCTGGCCCATTGAGGCCACAGAGCATGGCCTGTGCCATTTGAGTGCTCACACGAAGCCGAGGACTCTCACCCAGCCTCAGCACCAGGCTTCCATTTCTATCAGATCCTTCCAGTGATGTGGTTTCCTTAGGAACACTGGGCCAAAGGCTCCCTCTAGCTCACAGGACAGTTTTTTGTAAATGCTGACCATACCCATGCCCCTGAGCTTCCCAGAGGAACTGGAGGACAAAGGGCTAAGGAAGGGCAAGGGTGGCAGCCCAGAACAGGACAGCCGATCAACAGACCCTAACCTCCATGGGAAACTCCACTTTCATGGTTTTCTTGGATTGTGCAGAACACCCTGCCCCAGCCAGCCAGATGGTCCAGCTGGCTGGGAGAGACACCACAGATGACCCTCCTGATCCAATGAGGCTCTGGGGCCTGGGCCCCTGCCATTCTCACCAATCACTGAGAGGGGAACACTGACCTGCTGGTATGGCTATCAGAAGGAACAGATGTTTCAAGGGCCCAAAATCTAGCTGACAAGGACCCTGACCGATGCCACATCTCAGATTTATGGGCCTGTTCCTGCTGGACGCACTAGCTACCTAATTGGCAGTCCACATGTGGCTACACCACACATACCTTCTCGGCCCCCATGCTGGGGCACTTCCAATTGTAGAGATAATACTGCAGGTTGCCATCCCCTATGCCAAACTTGAGTTTCTCCAGGAACGTTTTATTCTCCATGAGATCCAGTGCATTGAACACATCGAACCCTTTCTTCAGGGTGACAGGAGAAATGAGAACAGGTGAGGACAGAGCAAGGCTGCCTACTTTCCTACCCACTCTGCTGTCGCCTCAAAACTGTTTTAGAGGGCTGGGGTTGTGACTCAGTGATAGAGCACTTGCCTAGTGTGCATGAGGCACTGGGTTCAACCCCCAGCACCACATTAAAAAAACAAACAAACAAAAAAAAAAAACAACTAAATAAACAAAATAAAGGGCTGGGAATGTGGCTCAAGCGGTAGCGCGCTCGCCTAGCATGCGTGCGGCCCGGGTTCGATCCTCAGCACCACATACCAACAAAGATGTTGTATCCGCCAAGAACTAAAAAAAAATAAATATTAAAAATTCTCTCTCTCCCTCCCTCTCCCTCTCTCTCTCCTCTCTCACTCTCTCTTTAAAAAAAAAAAAAAAAAAAAAACCAAAAAAACAAAATAAAGGTATTGTATCCATCTACAACTAAAAATATTAAAAAACAAAAACAAAACTGTTCTAGAGCTAGGCAAATTACAGCCTGCCTGTAATGCCAGCCACTCAGGAGGCTGAGGCAGGAGGATCCCAAGTTCAAGGCCGGCCTCAGAAACTTAGTGAGGCCCTGTCTCAAAATAAAAATAAAAATAAAAATAAAAAGGGCTGGGGATATGGCTGAGTGGTTTAGCACCCTGGGTTTAATCCCCAGTACCTCCCCACCCCTCACCTCCAAAAAAGTTCTAGAAATAGCCACAGAATAGGATTCTGTCAGAATCTCTGGCTGTTTTTTGGGTTAGATCCAAACTGTAGCTAGCGCCTGGCTCTCCAGGTGTGCTTTCCAAGACAGTCTTAATGGCACCCTCAATATGGCCTCTATTCAGTTGTCCCTCTGAGTATTCACAGCATACTCAGTGTCCAGGCCACTTCTCCTGCTATGCCTCCCCGAAAACACTCCAGTAATTTCCACAGTCCTCTCTGGAAACCAAGCTCAGAGCCCCTTCCTCTGGGAAGTTGGCTTGTATCAGCTTCCTTACTCTCTGGCTATCAGACTCTTAGGCTCAGGTACACACAGTGATCGTATGATACCTCAGTGCTCCTTTAAGCTGGTGAGGACTCAATTCCCCAATTTCACTGATTGGAAGCTCCCTTGGTGTAGGGGCTGGGCTCAGTGCAGGAGGGCATTGGTACCACAAGACTGAGAGCTAATGACTACCTATTACTCATGCTCGCCAGTCAGCTATTCCAATCACCTGCTCAGGAGGAGCCTATTCTGCCCTTCCCACACTGGGAAAGCTAGAAGAATCCCACTATCCCAAAGCAGGCTGGCTATTGGCACCAGCTACAAAAATGAAACTCACAGGAGTTCAGTGCCCCCATTTCAGACACATCTGATTCCCTCCTAATTTTGAATTTTGAGCTTGAAAACTGCTAGCACCCCACTTAAGAGGAAGGTGAAGGGGCTCAAAGCCTCCCAACCCAGATGCAGCAAGCTCCAGGGAGCTATGCTCACCACTGTTTCACTGCCCTCCCCCCAGGATCTCCAAAGACCCTCTGGTCTGTTCCTCACCATTTTGGCTAGAACAAGGGCATCACTCATGAGGTCTAGAAGAGGGGTCTGGGTGTGGACGTTGTAGAAGGAATACGCAGCTTTTAGACTCTTGTGGGTTGGATGGTTCATGATGGTGGAGGGAAGTGTATAAAAACTCAGGAAATCTGTCACCTCACCATTTGCATTCTGAAGGGAAGACAATAAAAAGAGGCAGTGTCATACATGCACAGTGACACCGTGGCCCAGAAACAATACGTTCTCCATTACACGCACACTACCTTCAGGCAGCCCTGCCCCTCTAGCTGAATGAGTGGAAAATGGAACAGGATATGCCTGAGAGGAAGCATTTGGCTGAGGGATCGTGAGGACAGAACCAGGCTGGACTGTGGGCTGAACTACTGGCTCTCCTTGCCTGCTGGGCATCATCAGGGATCTCTTCTTGTGGCCTACATTCCCAAGACTGCACTACTTTAAGCAGGACAAGCAAGGAATCAGAGGCTCTTCTAACTGACCGAGAGGGGCTTGGTGCGCTATTCTGTCATCAGGGTGGATGTGGTTGTAGGAACAACAACCTACAATTCCCTGTATTTCAAGGGAACCAAACATGGAAGGTTCAAGAAGCCTCAGGTGCCAAAACCTGGGCCCTGGGAACCTACCTGGCTGCTTCAAGGGACTGCCTCTCTAGGAACCGCTTCCAACTCACCTCCACCACGAAAGTGTCAATGATATTCTCCTGGGGGTAGAACCAGTGCTCCACCTCCTCCTGACTCATGACTGGCGTGAGGTGAAACTGCTTCAAGTACCTTGTGAGGAGCTGGTGCACTACTGGAATGTCCTTTTTTTCCATTGGTCGCAGCCCAGCTGTCTTGGGAGTCTGGAAGGAAGATGAAGAGATAGTATCAGATGTGTCTGTCTCCCAGCCCCTCAAGAGAGACTCCTTGGTCATTCTCAGCAACTCCTCTTACACCCTGGGTCTTTCTATTCAGGTCCAAGTCCTGCCCTTTTAGGATCTTCTGGCCCTTTCCCATCTTGTCCTGGCTGCCATCCAGGCTGAGGCTGTTGCATCAGTATGTCATCCACATGGCCTCAGGCTGTCCTCCTAATATGACAAACTTCCCATAAAGTCTTCCACCTTCCAGGCCAGCTGGCCCCTCTGGCTAGACCTTCCGTCCATCTAGCCCAGCAGTTCTCAGAGGAGGCAATGTTGCCCCCAATATCTGGTGACATTTCTGGTTGTCATGACTGAGATGCTACTGACATCTAGGGGCTAGAAGTCAGAGATGCCATTAAATATCCTACACTGAACAAGACAATCCTCATGACAAGGAACTACGCAGCCCAAAATGTCCACAATTGACATGATTGAGAGAAACTCTGTTGGCTCCCTGGATGTGCTGGGGGCTGGCTCTTCCATTATCTCCCTTAGAACAAGACAGTACTGCTCCAGGGCCTCAAAGAAGCCCTCCTCTGAGCATCCATACCTCCTCACACTGAACCACAGCTGCCATCTTCCTACTACCCTCACTGTCCCTCTTCTATAGACACAAAGCTCATCACATACAGACCCTAGGGCCCAGCCTGGTCTGGCCACTCAGAGGCCACAGCATCAGCAGTATATAAGCAGGACACTGCTGCAAGATGAACTCAGAAGAAAAAATACCCAACTCTAGGATTTTCAACTCAAACTATCATTCTACCCTATAGATGCTTTTTCTTTAAAAATCGTTTTTTAAAATTTTTTGATACTGGGGATTAAACCCAGAGGTGCTTTACCACTGAGCTACATCCCCAGCCCTTCATATTTTTATTTTTAAAGAGGGTCTCATTAAGTTGTTTAAGGCCTTGCTAAGCTGCTGACCTCAAACTTGCAATACTCCTGCCTTAGCCTCCTGAGTCACTGGAATTACAGGCATGCACCACCACACCCAACTGTACAGATGCTTTTTCTTGAAAAATGCTTCAGTGGAAGGAAACCACATTATCCTATGGAGCAAATATTGGAGCTGACAGACCATCCCCAGAGGTTCGATACACAAAGATGTGATCTAGCCAAAGTGAAAACTGGTGGAATTATGGTTGATATGCCTATTGCTGTGTAGTACAACTGCTTCCCAGGACAGGAGTTGCTTTTAAAAGTTCAGTTCTGGGCCTCTGCTCTCCAAAACTGCTTGTAGCCCTGATCTCTCTAGGGAACACTTAGCGACCTCATTCTACATGGCAGCTCCCACAGTGACACCTCACACACTGAGCCGAAATTACAGGCACACTAGGTTCTTGCAGTGAAGTGGGGAGATCCAGACATTCTCCTGGCTGCTCTCTGCCTGCCAGGAACACAGGGCACACTGGCCATAATGGGGGGAGAAGACACCTACCATGGCCCTGAAATCTGTTTTTGGCAGTGTCTAACTACACCACAGTGGTCTCTCAAGAGGGGACACTAATGACCCCAATCCAGTGGTGGACTAATCCCATGAAAGGATGATCAATACTATTTGGTGGCTGATGAATTCAGGTAGGCAGCACTCTGAGAAACAGGCTTTCAATAATTTTTGCAGACTAACAGCTGATTGGAAGCATTCTGAGAAGGCGTTTCAAGAATTCAGGATCCTGAAGCCAGGCACAAATGGAGGGCAGGAACATTTGTTTCTTTGGGAAACCAGGTCTATTCAGACCCAGGATAGAAAACTCACTTGCAATAGGCTGCCCAGTCCTTCAGTGGCAAATATGGGCGGGGTGTTGGGATTAAAAATCCTGGGTTTCCCTCAAGCTTAGATCACCCCTCCTTTACTTGATTTGGCAGAGGGAAGGACACTCAAGAGCTGGGATCTGGAATGTGTGCAATGAATATGAAGGATCGGTAAGTAGACTGATCAATTTATGCTTCATTTAGGCTAAAATTATACAGGATAGGTGTTCTCTAAGCCTATCAGCACATGGCACAGAAGCCAATCCAGGCACAGACTCAGGAGGACTGAGAAAATCAAACTAAAACAAAACTTTGCTAAGGCTGGGCATAGAGGCACATGCCTGTTAAGTCCAGCTACTCAGAAGGCAGAGGTAGGAAAATCACAAGTTCAAGGCCAGCCTGGGCAACTTAGTGGGCCCTAAGCAACTTAGTGAGACCGTATCTCAAAATAAAAAATAAAAAGATCTGTGGATGTGGATTAGTGGTAAAGCACCCCTGGGTTCAATCCCCAGCAGCAAAAACAAAAACCAAAAAGATAAACCCCAGAAATAATGGAAATCTGAAGACTATGGGCTGGCTCACTTTTATGATAAGAAGAGCCCTCCCCGCTGCCCCCCAGCTCAGCTCCTTTCCTGCCAAGGCCAGGCTCTCCTGCCCCTGCCCACCCCAGGGTACCACTGGCCTCTGGCAGTCGGTAGAGCTTCATGGTGCGCTGCATGGTCATATTTCTGCTCAGGTGGGAAAACTTCACTTCAATCAGCTTCCGTGGGTTTAGGGACCGATGCCAGTACCTGTGGGGACACAAATGTCCTATCCTCAGGGGATTCTGGCCAGTGCAATTAGAACTGTGGCAGGGTGACCTCCAGATGGCCAGCAGATGGCGTGAGAGACAAGTCAGGCCCCTCTTGGGCTGGGCTAGCACAGGTTCCAGCCTCTCCAAGAGGATGCAGAAAGGCCATAGCTCCTCCTAGCTTTTCTTTCTCCCTATTTTTCTTTCTCAATTTAAAAAGTCATTCCTTTGTAACAGCAGTTGTCTGGGGAGAGCAATCCTCATTCCTGGAATCAAGTCAATGGGAAAGATTCATAGTCATGCCCAGAAAATTGGCACATGCTTGCCCTTTTCCTTTTTCCTCATCTACCTTTACCTGGTATTTTCACTTCTCTAGCTCTTTAGGCAGACATTGTTAACTTCAAAGAACTTTCTATGGCGGAGTTCTCCTTGGATCGCAAGGTATCAGACAAGCTCTCTTTGGCTAACACAATACTCAAAACAAAACTAAGCCAACTAATAAAAAATTTTAGGACATTTTCCTTAAAAATCCAGGTTTGGCCTCTTCCTTAAAAACAAAAAGAAAGCTGGGCATGGGGGCACACACCTGTAATCCCAGTGACTCAAGAGGCTGAGACAAAGGGATCACAAGTTCAAGGTTAGCCTCAGAAATTTAGCAAGGCTCTATCTTAAAATAAAGAAAGAAAAAGGGCTGGTGATGTAGCTCAGCGGTAAAGTGTCCCTAGGTTCAACTCTTGGTACAAAACAAAACAAAAACAAAAATATGGCCAGGAAAAGGGGACACACCTATAATTCCAGAGACCTGGAAAGCTGAGGCAGGAAGATTCCAAGCTCAAGGCCAGCCTCAACAACTTAGCAAGACCTCTCTCAAAATAAAAAGAGAAAAAGTGCTGAGGTACATAGCTCAATGGTAGAGCACACCTGGGCTCAATCCTAGTACTGCAAAACAAGAACAAAAACTCCCAGCAGACTGACTCCCCTTATCTCTAAATGCAGTAACCAGCAGGAGCTGAATAGCTAACTCTTCATTCCAGTCTGCTATCCCTATACCTGCCTTCTCACTCCTCTGTATTCCCCAACCCCCATCACATCAGACACTAGGGCTCCAAGACACTCCTGGAACACATAAGGAGCAGAAATGAATCTGACAAAGCTCAACTAGAGCTGGGGCACCCACATTTCTAGGATCTTGCAAGAAGAGAATTTTACCTGCAGGTGCCAACAGGCTTTGGCAACACTACCCCGGCAGTATAAACAGCTTGGAAAATGCCTTCAAGGTGAACCCGCCGGGTTATCTCTCGGATCAGGACTGGAGCCACCCTCTTGGAGCGCAGCTTCTTATGGACACACAGGAAGTTGATCTCCACCATCTTCTTCTCTCTGAAGGAGGAGGGGAAGTGTAGGTAGCAAAGCTTTTAATGGGGAAAGTCATGGCAACTCTTTCAAGCATGTGGAACCACACCTGAAGGGAGCTTCAGCACAGGTGTGTATTCTGCGGCCACCCTCACTTGGTTAGTACTGGGGTCCCTCCCGCAACTCCATCAGTTTCTATACAAACTCCACTTCCAAAGGAAAGTGGGAGCCAAGCAAACACCCTATCAGAAGACATCACCAGCATTTCCCTTGGAATCCCCAAAAGCAGCCTTGAAAATTCCACCTGTACCACACAGGTAAGCAGCACAGGGAACCCCACAGAGAAGTCAAGGCTATTCTAGGACCTCAAGGGTTCTGATTCCCACAAGAATCCTCCAACTCTGTGAGTCAGAAGACTGGTTGTGATAGTGCCAGAAAAAGTAGAGTTGGAAGGCTCCAAAGACCACTTCAATGTGGGTCATGCTGGCTTTGGTTTACTTCTGAAGCAGTTCAGGTAAATCACCATGTTGACTGCTGGAGTGCAGGAGCAGGTGGGCTCTTTCCAGCCCAAATCATAGATAAGGGACCCAGCCACAACTCAGAGCAAAACACATAGTTTCTATAATGAGTTTCCATGCCAGGTGTCTAGATTCTCCCCCTTATGGGAGAACTGTAGCCCTCTCCTCCTCCTACTCAGACCAAGATGGTAGGGGTGGGGTCGGGTGGGGATGGGTGCTGGTGCTTACGTGTCATAGATGTGGATGTTTGCTGGGATGGCGCTAATGAACCCAACCAGTTTCCGACTTGAGACCACTCGAACCCCACAGTGCCACTGGGGGAGCCAGCCAGGTGGCCGTAGAGCCCTGGAAAAGAGAGAAGAGCTAGGGCTGTGGTGCTACCTGTGGCAAGCTGGATGGCTATGTGGGCTCCACAGCATGTTTGGTTCTACCCTGGTGCTACTTTCTCCCTAGAGATGAGTAGCTCAATTCTTTTTAGGGTCAAGCTTTCCAAGGCACAAACGGAATCAAGGCATAGCCACTTCTCACTCTCAAACCACTTGGCCTTAAGTCATCCAATCCAGGGCTGTCATACTGAGGATTTCATGCCTGATTTGTGTTCATTATGACAGCCTGAATCAGAGGACTGGCCTCTTCAGTTTAGAGGGCAGTGAGTGTCATGGTTGGGAGCTGACTGTGGTACCCCTAGAACTCTCACTTTCCCTCTGGGCTCTGCTCCTCTTTTGGCTTGTTCATTTTTCCTTTGTCTCCCCTTGTAGGCAATCCCTCTCTAGTTCAGCCTCATGCATTTATCTTCCTGGATATTGAACATGGTCAGCCAGGTAGACAGCTCAGCCAGGCAAAGCCATTTTTATACAATTGAGCATGCTCAGAAACTGGATAGAAAATGATCTTCCTTTAAAAAAAAAAAAAATCTTAGTAGGTCTCATTCATCCTTCTCTTGTTGCCTAAAGTAATCATACAGCAGATTATCTTTTCATCTACAAAAATCTACCTCACCCAGTCAATTTTTTTTTTTTAGTTGTAGATGGACACAATATCTTTATTTTTATTTTTATGTGGTGCTGAGGATTGAACCCAATGCCTCACACGTGTGAGGTAAGCCTTGACCACTGAGCTACAACCCCAGCCCTCAATCTTAAATTAGGTTTCAATTCTAAGCTCCACTGAAAGCAAGTCTCCTTTGAAATCAGGAACTTAAGAAGAACACAGTAATTTGCCACTCAAAAGTTAGTTCTTGGCAGGGATAAAAACTCTGGTGCACTGTGATTGTTCTGTTCTCTGCTTTGCCTTTGAGAACTGTAAGAGATTCTGGAACAGAGACCAGACCTTCACTAGACATCAAACATGTTGATGCCTTGATCTTGGACTTCTCGGCCTCTAGAACCACAAGAAATAAATTACTATTGCTTATAAATTAAAAAAAGAAAAAAAAAATCATAAGAAAGCCCTTACAACTCACCACAAAAGAAACTCTGGGGAATAATCAAATCGGAACATGTTGTCATCATCTTCCACATAGTTCTCATTCAGTAGAGTATATAGTTCTTTCAGCTGTAGAGAAATAAGGAGCTCACTGCAAGGTATGATGCCAGGTGGGGGACAACTCCAATAGTGTGTGGCTCTAAGCTTCACAGAAGGATGCATAAAACCTCTCATCTCACAAATCCTTTTCACCCCAGGCATGGCAGGGACTCTTTTGGAACAAGTTGTAAGGGGAAACTGAATCACTGAAGTGTGGAGTACACAGTTAAGTACACAGAGTGGCAGACAAGAATGTTATCTAATCAAATGACTATTCCATCATTCTGACCTATCAACAATGGGGAGCCATTGGTCTTTACCTTTGTGAAAATGCTATGGAGAGATGATTCTTAGGGTTGGTTAAGGAATTACTCCCAGGAGAGTTACTGCCAATTTTTTTTACCATGTCTAGTGCCCAATCAAATACCTCTGACCTTTTTTTTTTTTTTTTCTGCCTTGAGCAGCTGCTGTCTCTATCTGTTGACCCAAGTTTGCTATAAAAAAATTCTGTTCATGAATTGGTTACGATGGAGCTGCCTATAGTTCCAGCTGCTTGGGAGGCTAATGCAGGAGGATAGCCTGGGCTCAGGAGCTGGAGGCTATAGTGTGCTATGCTGACTGGGTGTCCACATTAGGTGTCAGCAGTGGGACTATGCCTGCGAATAGCCATTGTACCGTCAGCCTGAGCAATAGAGCAAGACCCTGTCTTTGTTTCTCTCTCTCTTTGTGTGGCACTGAGGATTAAACTTATGGGTGCCCTACCACTGAGTTATATCCCTAGGCCTTTTTGAGACAGGGTTTGGTTATGTTGCCCAGGATGACCTTGCACTTGGGATCTTCCTGCCTCAGCATCCTAAGTTGCTAAGATTATAGGTGAACACCACCACACACAGATAAAAATATAAGACCCTGTCTTAAATAAAAAAAAAAAAAAAAGAAGAAGAAAAAAAAATATGTTTATATATTTTCATCATTCTCTTTACAGAGGAAACAGAATTCCTCATGCCAAAAAAGGAAGAATAAAGAAATTTTGGACTGTGCAGAGGGCAGTGAGGGGTGGGGTGGGGCTGTGGGATGGGAAGGACAGTAGAATGAGACAGACATTATTACCCTATATACATGTATGATTACACTACTGGTGTGACTGCACCATTTTCACCTAGAGCAATGAGAAGCTATGCTCCATCTGTGTACAATGTGTTAAAATGCATTCTACTGTCACATATAATTAGAACAAATTAAAAAAATAAATAAAGTAAAATAAAGAATATAATCATGCACATAATAAAAAGTAAATTAAAAAAAAAAAAAAAGAGAAGCTCTGGTGGAAAGGGAAGGAGACTTCTTCAGGCAGCAGCCCCAGGTCATCAGTAAAGAGACAGACAAGAATAAGACAATGAAATGAATGAACAAAAAACAAAGAGAGAGAAAGAAAAAGGACACTGGGGAACCATAGAGGGTAACTTTCAACTTGTGAGAAATGCTAAGTGTTATTTATGTGGAATCTTAGGTAGGCCCTAGGAAACAAGAGATAGGGTTCTATTCAGCCCTCCTTGGCTCAGTTCCAAGAGTCTCCAGGAAAGCCTGTATAATCACTGTCCTACCCACAGGTCCCAGGTCTACTCACCACACCACGGTCCCCCAGGTCCAAGGCATCCCAGGTGAAGCCCTGGGGCAAGGTATAGGGCTCCTGGCGGATGTTGTCTTTGTCAGGTTCCACAGGACCATGGGTGTTCACCACTTCACCTGGAAGAACAGTCATGAGCCTTGCCCTCTGCTCCTATCGGGGTGGGCTTTAGTGGAAGGTGAGGGAGGGGCTCAGCTCAAAAAGTGACCAAAGCAAATTCCTCTTCTCCCTAGAAGTCCTACATCTGAAGAACATTCTGTGCTTGGCAACTGAACACACCCCTCCAGCTACCCTTGGCCTTTAATTGAAGGCCAATGAAGGGCAAAACAATTACTGGGATCTAAGGTGGCTCATTTTTGGAAATCCTTTTAAATCTCCCTTGGGTTCCTGGATGACAAACATTTATCTTTTACTAATCTGGCTTCCTGCCTCCTGGTTGGTGAAAAGAGTACTGAGTTGATTTGTAAGGCGTTGCAACAAGGCTGCCTTTGTGTCAACAGCAAAGGACTGGGCCCGTTCCTAAAGCCAGATGATAGCTTTTAGGCGCTAGGCGCCAGGCTCAATTCTGGCCCTGCTACCCATGGCTTGCAGCACTGTGGGCCAGTTAACTGCTGTTGCCAACTCAGGCCCTCGGTGGTCAGATCCTACAAGTGCCTTTGGGCTGAATCACTGAGCATGCACAGTGCTGCCAGGAAGTCAGCCTCTGACACATCTCCACCCTGGCCAGTTGTCCCTCCTCTATGGGGAGTTGGGGTGGGGGGCCTGGAGATGAAGGAGAGGGACTAGAATTAGATGAGGCTGGAGAAGAAAGCAGGGCCAGTCATGGAAGACCCATACTCCAGAGGCTGGACTTTATCCTTAGGGCCCTGAGATATTCTTAATGGGCTTTTAAAGGGGTACCAGAGGAGGGGTGAGGTTAGGGTGACATCTTCAGATCTGCATTTTATAAAGAGCACTCATTAAATGCTTGTCAACTGACAATACCAACAAAAACTACCCAGTGTTTGAATGGTAAGCCTCCATCTATCTATTGATAAACCAGCTCTGTAAGCTATGATGTTAGATTCAGTATATAGATGTATTCAGTACATTTTTGACTCATGATACCTTTAGTTTATAATAGATTTATTTGGATATAATCCATCGTTAAGTCGAGAAGCACCTGTATGTATGCTCCCTACCTCAGCAGCTGAATCTCCTAGGGTCCAGCCACATTTCTTCCCTCTTAATCTTTGGCTGGCCTTGCTCACCCCTCTTCAAAGAATGTACTGTCAAGTCTCAGTGTTTCTGGAGGGCAGTAGTAACATATACAAACTGATGGTCACTTTCATTTAGTGTTAGAATGTGACTTACTTTTTTTTTTTTTTTTTTTAATGAAACTGGGCATTGAACCCAGGGGTACTCTATCACCAAGCTTTATCCCCAGCCCTTTCAAAAACTTTTTGAGACTGAGTCTTGTTGAGCTGCCCAGGCTGGCCTCAAACTTGTGATCCTCCTGCGTTAGCTTTCCCGAATCACTGGTATGACAGGTTTGTGTCACTCTGCTTGCCTTCATTACAGCTTTTTAAATGACTGCTGAGGTGCTGATAAAACTTAAATATAGGATTACAGAAGCTAACCTACCACTGCTAAGTAAAATGTCACATTAAGTAAGTGTGCATTAACAAGAAAAAGAGGAGGAAGGGGGAGACTCTCCATTCTGGGACTACTCATTTGCCCAGACAAATAAGAGAGTAGCTCACAAAACTACCCATGGGCAGACATCCCCAACTCACCATGTGCCAATACACTGCTTTTCTTTGTAGATTTATACTGGATGATGATGGACTAAAACAATTATTATATTTCTCAGTGTGTGCTGCTGTGAAACAATAAGTTCTTTGAACAATAATTTCTATACTCCTTTTAAAAAAATGACTCAAAAAATAACCACCAAGGAACTCCAGGACTATATTGCCCTCCCTCACAAATTCAGCATGGAACACAGCTAGGACACATTCCTCACCCTCACCTGGGAAAGAAAGCACACACATACCTAATTTAGGGACAGGCTGTGTATCCCAAAACTGGTAGCTTCGCTTGCTAGCCTCCTCCATGGTTTTGGCAGGTCCTTGACCCACTGAGAATAGTTCAATGGCCTTCTGTATTTCCTGGATCCTCTCTGCTGGCAAAGAGTTCATCTGGGAAAGACAAAGTTTGAGAGAGAAAAGACTATTGTGTTAGTAAGACTTCTGATTTATTATGAGTTCAAGAGTTAAGTGGTACAACTCAAAGAAAGGGGTGGTTTCTCTGTCCTAAATCCGGAGGTCAAAATATTGTTCAACTGGAGAAAGAGTGGCTGATGATGAACTAAGAGGTGCTGCCTACGGTATCTCCCCTTCTAAGTCTTGAGTTGTTTGATGGCAAATGTACTACATGCTCAGTGAAAATTTTTAAACAATACAAAGGTGTGTAAAACATATAAAAGGTAAAAATCCAACGATCCCATCCTTCAAATATAATTTTGAACAACAGTCATCCTGAGGTAAGAAGATACTAATATAATTCCAGACTTTTTGCATGCAAGTTCCAAACACACACATCCTTTTCAAAAACCAAATTTGAATTATATACTATTCTACAAAATGTTCTCTTAAAACTATGTCTTACAGCAGGGTAAAGCTTAATGTTAGGATGTGTGCTTAACAGGGATAAGACCCTTGATTTAATCTCTAACATCTCTCCCCCAAAAAAGATCTTTAGATGAAGACATAGATTAACCAAATGTTCATTCTTTCTTTCCCCCTCCTCCGTACTGGGGATTGAACTCTGGGATACTTAACCACTGAGCCACATGCCCAGCCCTTTTTATATTTTATTTCAAGATAAGGTCTCACTAAGTTGCTTAGGGCCTTGCTAAATTGCTGAGGCTGGCTTTGACTCGTGATCCTCCAGTCTCAGCCTCCTGGGTTACTGGGATTACAGGTGTGTACCACCATGCTTGACACTTCTATTGGGGATTAAACCCAGGGTCAATCAACCGTACAGCCAACATCCTCAGTCCTTTATATTTTGAGACACTAAATTGCAGAGGCTGGTCCCCAATTTGTGATCCTCCACCTCAGCCTCCTGAGCAGATGGGATTACAGGCATTTAACCACTGGACCCAGCTAGGTGAACTACTTTAATATAGACTTGAACTCAAATATTCATGCAGTCACACAAACACCCACTCCCAGAGAGATACGCATCCCTAAACTAAAGCATAGGCTTGGGCTAGAGAATTCCTGAGTGAAAGACTGGGATAAGTCACTTCTCTCATGTCTGAAATGGGAAGATTCCTACTTCCCTTGTAGGGATGATGAAGGTTTGGGGTTAATTTAAATGAGGTTCATGGCAAAAGCCTAGTGAACATGGTGGTCAACAATGATGTTCCTCCCCCCCATGGTGGATTTTTTTTTTTTTTCCTTAAAGAGACAGTGAGAGAGAGAGAAGGAGAGAGAGAATTTTTTATTATTTATTTTTTAGTTATCGGCAGACACAACATCTTTGTTTGTATGTGGTGCTGAGGATCGAACCCGGGCCGCACGCATGCCAGGTGAGTGCGCTACCGCTTGAGCCACATCCTCAGCCCCGTAAATTTTTTTTTTAATATACTTTTCTTAGTTGTCATGGACTTTATTTATTTATATGTGATGCTGAGAATCAAACCCAGTGCCTCACACATGCTAGGCAAGTGCTCCACCACTAAGCTACAATCCCATCCCTCCACAGTGAATTTGACATTAGAAATAGTCAAAAATTACCAGAAGCCATGTCTTCATAAGATAAAAGATTTAAGTTGAAGCATAATATTTGAAACATACAGCAAAGTACAGATATACTGGAAATGAGACTGGATTTCTTCTGAGCTTGTATACTGTTTCTAAGGCAATTCTAAAAGGGCACTTGTGGATATTTCTTTCTTTCTTTCTTTTTAATATCTTTTAGTGTTGAAGGACCTTTATTTTATTCATTTATTTATATGCAGTACTGAGAACTGAACCCAGTGCTTCATACATGTGAGGCAAGTGCTCTACCACTGAGCTACAACCCCAGGCCATTGTGGGTATTTCTTGAGTTGTCCCCCCAGACCTACTTTTGAAGAATACATTTACCTGAAATAAAAGGGTTTCTTTGTTAATACTGTTTTAATTTAAGGAATAAAACTATCCTTTCCCATCTCTATGAGTTTCATGCCAGGGTGTCAGTCTTAGGTTTTATACTCTAGGCCACTGTTTTCAACAGTGAAGCTCAGAAAAAACTCTGCAGGACTCCTGGTTTATAAGACAATGACTACCTGTGAGAAGGCTTGCAAATAAAGAAAAGTCTGCCTTAAGAAAAGGGCTTTTAGGGGCTGGGGATGTGGCTCACGCGGTAGCGCACTCGCCTGGCATGCGTGCGGCCCGAGTTCGAGCCTCAGCACCACATACCAACAAAGATGTTGTGTCCGCCGAGAATTAAAAAATAAATATTAAAAATTCTCAAAAAAAAAAAAAAAAAGAAAAAAAGAAAAGAAAAGGGCTTTTATTCTTACAGTGGTGGAGACCTAAGACAGAAAGGGCTAAACACCACTGCTCTAGCAACAGGCCCATCATAGAGTCATTATTCCATAGCACCTGGGTCAGCACACTTGGAGTATGCACCTATTAAGTTCTGATGGGTACCACATTTAGAAGTCAGTGTCTAACCTGCTCTGTGTTTTAAGAAACTGAGAACCGTTTCATCACCTAGGTGTAGGGCAGCAGAGGACAGCACTGGGATCCAATTCTTGCTTCTTAAAGGAATACAGGTAGAGACTGTCAGTAAGGTGTTCCTCTAAATTTACCTCAAAACACTCTCATCTGAAAAATGGCCTGTCACAAGAAAACAGAGTCTCCTTGTTACCTTCACAGGCTGATCCTGGGTTGAATCTGTCTCACTGCCTTTTTCTTTCTTCTTCTTTTGTTTCTTTTTCTTCTTTTTGGCTCCAGTGTCATTGGCTGGACTCAAACCACTACAAAACAAAGTAAACACTGATGCAGGGTTTTAAAAAAAATTATCATCTGTTTTGAGCTACACTGACAAAGGGCTTTCTGTGGAACAGACCTTCCTTAATCAAGCCTGTTGGCTTCAAAAGCAGCCTGGAGAATCCAGCTCCCAGAAGGGGCATTTGGAGGACACTGGCAAGCACAGCTCTCCTTCCCACTCCCAATCCTCAGCCTCCCAGAGAGGAGGCACTGTGCGAGGCATGCCCTATTTGTTTCAAAGGCCATTTTCCATTTTGCTTTTATTTTATATGTTTACTTTCTTTAGACTGCCAGGCTGATGGTACCAAAGACAAATAATAATTATCAATGGAGTATTCACACTACTACAGCTTCCTTGGGGTCCTGAATTTAAAAGGAAGACTGAAAAAAGGCAGTTGAAATCTTTTTGGAATGCTTTGCCTTTCTTCCCCAAATGCATTAAGCTTCTCCAACTGGACCTAAAGCACAAGGCAGCATGGAAAAGAGAGAAAGGGATGAGGAAAAAGGGCAGTTTAACATTGTAGCAATCTGTGTCCAAAATAGTCAGGAGAAATGCCTAAATCAGGCCTGCAGGCTTGAGGACAGAATCAAATGGCTTACACAGAGTGACAATTGACAAACCCTGGCATTAGGAATCTTAAGAAAATTAAGCAATAGCAGCAATACCCAGCTTCTCCTTCCATGGAGAGATCACATCCAACGTGTATGTTTATGAATGTGGTAAAGGGGATGCTCTTATGCTACTTTCCCTTAGCGCAATGCAGCAAGAACAGTTTTTTAGCCACATTCAAAAGTGAAAATTAGGGCAGGGAATATACCTTAGTGAATATCTATACATTCATAATAATCAACTGTCAAAGAATTTAAACATTATAAAATACATTTTCCATTAACATTAAGGTAAATACCATTTATAATTCAGGATGACTTCAGAGTCTCAAAAAATGCCTTAGTATTATTTGAAAATTGATGTTAACTAACAGTAAGTGCTACTACATGTGTGTGTGTAAGGATCATGGGCTGCACTCTTGTTCTGTTTTATAGAGAAGGAAATCTGTAACCATGCCCTGCCACTTCCTTTTTGTTTGCTGTGCTGGGGATTGAACCCAGGGCTTGGCACATGAGAGGCAAGGGCTCTACCAGCCCTTGCCATCTGCTTTTGTAGAATGTCTTTAAAATTATCTCTTCCTTTTCTTGGCATATAGAATTTAGAGTGATGAGAAAAAATTGTGAAGTCAGGAACAGTAAAGACTGGAGGTTCACTTGGTCCAAGAGTAAGGTCACAAAATCCGGACGTAAGTGTACCTGATAAGTATTCTATTAATGAGACACAGAAGAAAGACCCAGAACATTCAGAGAAGGAATAAGGTGAACTCCTTAAAACCACATGCTCAGCAAAACCCCTAAGCCCAGGGCAAAGAATGGAAACCATCGTCATTCACAGTCTGAAATTACTTTTTCCTCTTAATTATTCAAATTTTTTTTTTTAGTCACACACAGGACCAATTGTGGCCTATCACAACTATGTGGTCTTCTTATACCAGAGATATTCTCACTTCAGTCCCAGGACTAAGTGGACTATATTATATGGTTTAAAAGCCAGTTGATGGCCAGGCATGATGGCTCATACCCAAATAATCCCCCCCCGCTACTTGGGAGGATGAGGCAGGAGGTTTACAAGTTTTAGGCCAGCCACAGCATCTTATGGTACACCCTGTTTCAAAAATAAAAAGGGCTAGCGACTGGTATGGTGGCAAAAACCTGTAATTACAGCACTTTGGGAAGCTGGGGCAAAAGGACTGCAAAGTTCAAAGCCAGCCTAGGTTAACTTATGGGGACTGAACCTAGAACCTTGTACCCTTTCCCATAAGACCCTACCCCCACCCCAAATTGCTGGGAATATAGCTCAGTTGTAGAGTGCCCCTAGGTTTAATCCTTAGTACTTAAAAAAAAAAAAAAAAAAAGTGTGTGGCGGGGGTGTCAGGTAGAAAAGAAAAGAAGGCAGGAATACAGCTCAGTGGCAGACTGCTGGCCTACCATGCACGAAGTCCTACCTTCCATCCAAGAACACACACACATACACACACACACACCATTGATGTTAGGAGACAGTGAAATATCCCACCTCTATTAGATACAACTTACTAGTCTTTATATCAGTTTATGGAATGAAATATTTGTACATGAATTTGCACATAAGTCACCCTAACAACCATTTTTACATTCTATGGTAAATTAGTGCTACATATTAACCAATTATATTTATTAAACAAGATTTTACATGAGGGAACTAGAAGATATGAATTCTTCCCAATTTCAGAAGTCTTTACAAACGCAGAAAATCACTTTTAAAATCACCTTTTCATGCCTTTGTTCTTGGTTATTCATTGGAGATAATTCTGTGCAGTGGTCATGTCATGGACCTCACTTTTTTTTTTATTTTTTTATTTTTTTATTTTTTAGAGAGAGTGAGAGAGGAGAGAGAGAGAGAGAATTTTTAATATTTTTTTTTTTTTTTTTAGTTCTCGGCGGACACAACATCTTTGTTGGTATGTGGTGCTGAGGAGGATCGAACCCGGGCCGCACACATGCCAGGTGAGCGCGCTACCGCTTGAGCCACATCCCCAGCCCCTGAGCCACATCCCCAGCCCCATGGACCTCACTTTTTAAAAAATATTTTTTAGTTGTAGATGGACACAATATCTTTATTTATTTTTATGTGGTGCTGAGGATGGAACTCAGTGTTCACACTTGCGAGGCAAGCACTCTACCACTGAGCTACAGCCCCAACCCCATGGATCCCATCTTTATAAAAGGATCCTGGGCTGCACTTTTGTTTTGTTTCATGCATCACCAGTACTACTGCCTGGCAAACTCTTAAGACCCAAACTAAAACCCAAGCTAATTCCATTTTCCTTGCACTGGCTTAAATGTGCACATACAGTTACTGAGCAACAATCACATTTCAACTTGTTTATTAAGCATGCAGACAGTTCAACAAAGGGAAGTCTGCCTTTTTAAATGAATCATCTTCATTGAGAGACCAGGTATTGAGCCACAATTATGAGGTCACACAAAAAACTCACCAGTCAACGTCCCCAACAACTATGGTTAGCTTTCAAATTATAGTCATTTTAATTATTCTTAAGAAACCAAGCTCAAAGGCTTTGAAACTAGGACTTTAAGAAGCATACTAAGGCTAGGAGAGGTTGTGCATGCCTGTAATCCCAGTGGATCAGGAGGATGAGGCAGGAGGACTGTAAGTTCAAAGCCAGCCTCAGCAATAGCGAGGCACTAAGCAACTCAGTGAGATGCTCTCTCTAAATAAAATACAAAATAAGACTGGGGATGTAACTCAGTGACCAAATGCCCTTGGGTTCAATCCCCAGTACCATAAAAAATTTTAAAAGGAAGCATCTTTTGGAAGTCAAGTTCACAGAAGAATGACCTCAATTTGGATTTGGAGAAATTCAAACCACAGGATCCCAGAGAAACCAGCTAGTCCTTCTCCAAGAATTTGGGTTTTTTTTTTTTTTTTTTTGGACATTGAGTGTCACTACATTGTCCAGGCTAGTCTCCAATTCCTGGGGTCAACTGATCCTCCCACCTCAGCTTCCAAAGTGCTGGAACTACAGGGTCATCAGTGTACCTAGCTTTTCATCATTTTTAAAGGGACTGGAAACCAGATTCAGTGATACAGCCCAATAGTCTCAGGAACTCAGGAGAGTAAGACAAGAGGACTGCAGAAAAAAGAAGAGAAATGTCTTTTTTTTTTTTTTTTTTTTTGGTACCAGGGACACTTGACCACAGAGACACATTCCTGGTCCTATTTTGTATTTTATTTAGAAACAGAATCTCACTGAATTACTAAGTGCCTTGCCATTGCTGAGGCTGGCTTTGAATTCACAATCCTCCTGTCTCATCCTCCCAAGCCACTGGGATTACAGGCTTGTGCCACTGAGCAGGCAGAAATGTCACCAAGGCCTGAGGTTTTAAGTTTAAGCTTTCTGAGGACATTGCAGTTGTGGGTGGAGCAGAGCTCTGTTCCGCCTGCTCCTGCTCCTGACTCATTGCTGTTCTCTCTAGTCTGAGGAACAAGACAGGAAGTCACACCACAGCTGCAGCTTTTATTTTTTAAAAATTTTTAAATTTTTGGTACCTGGGATTGAATTCAGGGGCTCTTAACCACTGAGCCACATCCCAGCCCATTTTATTTTTTATTTCGAGTCTCCCTAAATTGCTTAGGGCCTTACTAAGTTGTTGAGACTGACTTTGAACTTGCAATCCTCCTGCCTCAGTCTCCTGAGCCACTACGCCACCACATATAGCTAGCCACAGCTTTTAAAGGTAACTCAAAAATCTACACTGGTAGATATACCAAAGAGGTGGTGTTTTACCAAATTAGAATTACCCTCACAAGCTGCAAGGTGCAGTCTCTAGAGAAGACCTATCAGAGGAGCAAAAGAAGCCTCAAGGTGAAAAGATCCATAGGCATGTGTACCAAGACTTTTGAGAATCACTAAAAGAGAAACACCTTGTGGTGAAGAGTCTAAGACACAGGATTGATTTCAGATGAGAATTCACTAGTGACTCACTGGCTTGCACAGTCCTTCTTAGATTATTAAATAGATTACAACTATAGGTACTGAGCCAAGCTGAAGTCACCACTGCAGATGCCTAAATCAACTATTTTAATAAACTGATTACCAACTGTTAAAAAAATTAAGTTCAGGGCTGCGGTTGTAGCTCAGTGGTAGAGCGTTCACCTAGCATGTGAAAGCAATAGGTTTGATCCTCAGCACTACATAAAAATAAATAAAAGTATTTTAAAAATTAAGTTCAAACACATAAGAACAAGAAATACTGTGGACACTCTTATATAAAATCAGGACTGGAGGAGGAGGTGGAAAATGAACCCCGGTACTTACTTCCAGAAATAGAATAAAGTGCCGGGTGTGTAGGTGGGTGGGAGGGAGGAGCAAGCGGACAGATGAACAGAAGGAGCAGAGGACTTCCAGACAACACCAAGGGTGCATAACATGGGCCTCCTCTCAATCTTAAGAGATGACAAAATCCACTCAAATGTGCATTCCTCGAAACTGAAAGCTTTTATCATGGGGATGCGCGAGCTAAGCCTCCAGGGCCAGAAGGAATCTCAGAGCCATTTGATTTAACCTGTTGTTTAAAGACAAGGAAACCAAGGTGAGGTAAACGGGTCATAACTAACCAATCAGTAAGCACCCTAGGACAAGCCATCAATTTCTAAAAGTATTTCAGCCATCACTTTTCAAATGCAAGGGTCTTGTTCACTGTAAGGATTTATCCTAGAAGCTACCAAAGACAAAAGAATATTGTTTTATCACTCAAGGCCCTAGAACAAAGCTTCCACGTATGAGAGGAGCAGGTATTAGAGGTGACTAGAATAGCAGGACATGTTTTATCCTGAAAGCTGTTTCTTACTCCTCCATTTCTCACTGATTTGTCTATTTTAAAATTATGATATCCTAAATAATTTAATACTTTAATAATCACACAGCTAAGGGTTCAACAATTATATGCCTGATGGATGCTTTCTTGGAATAATATAAAACTCTGGGCTAAAATAAAATTCTGAAAAGCTTTAGTCCAAAAGAGGTCAGCAAAACATCTTTAGTATTGGTTCTTTAGGACAGCTGTGTTAACACTGTCAAAAAGCAGTGGAAATGTGTGCTCTTTCGAGCTGCTTGAGATTTTAAATTATCAGATTTCTTAGGATCTTTTTTTTTTAATTTTTAATATTTATTTTTTAGTTCTCGGCGGACACAACATCTTTGTTTGTATGTGGTGCTGAGGATCGAACTCGGGCTGCACGCATGCCAGGCGAGCGCGCTACTGCTTGAGCCACATCCCCAGCCCCCTTAGGATCTTATTCCTACAAAAGAAGCACCACTCTATTTCAAAAGGTGTTGATATCTTACACAGAGATGACACAGGTTTATGAGATCAAAAGAAGCCCAACAAATAAAATTCAGAACTTTTGGTTACTTATATTTTTCTTTTCTTTTTTTGTGCGGTACAGGGGATTGAACCCAGGGGTCCTCTACTGTTGAGTCATATCCCCAGCCTTTTCTATTTTTTAAGACAGGGTCTAGCTAAATTGCCCAGGTGGGCCTTGACTTTCAATTCTCTTGCTTCAATCTCCAGAATAGCTGGGATTACAGGCATACACCACCATAACCAGATGCTTACTTGTTTTCTATCTCTAATGGATACAAGTTAATCAGGTGCCATGATTTGGGAGGCTCAGAAAGGGGATTGCAAGTTCAAGGCCAGCTTCAGTAATTTAATGAGACCCTGTCTTAAAATAAAAAATAAAACAGACTGGGACACTCTATGTGGTACAATACCCCTGAATTTAATCCCTAGCATCAAAATAAATAATTAAATAACATAATTTAAAAGTTGAAATTAATTTTCTGGGTTAAAAGTCTAAATTTCCAGGGCTGAGGCTGTAGCTCAGTGGAAAAGCACTTGCCTCACATGCGTAAGGCACTGAGTTCAATCCTCAGCACCACATAAAAATAAATAAAGATACTGTGTGTTCCTCTACAACTAAAAAATATACATAAAAAATATTTTTAAAAAGATCTAAATTTCCAGAGAAACTTGCTAAAATAAATTTTAACCTCTACTTCTTTTAGACATCAAAAGATCCAACTGCAAATCAGTATAATATATTAACCAGCAATCCTGTTAGTATTCAGAAAACCCAAAGAGAGGCAGATGAAGGGAGGAAACCAAATGGTATGAATCAATATCAGCTGCCTACTCTCTATTGCAGTGGCTGCAGGATCACAATGTAATACCCCAACTCTATACGTTACTACCAATTAGTTATTTAGATTTTTAAAAAATGCACTTGTTGGGGCTGGGGATGTGGCTCAAGCGGTAGCGCACTCGCCTGGCATGTGTGTGTCCCGGGTTCGATCCTCAGCACCACATACAAACAAAGATGTTGTGTTCGCCAATAACTAAAAAATAAATATTAAAAAATTCTCTCTCTCTCTTTAAAAAAAAACCCGCACTTGTGAACGAACCCTAATTATGGAAAAAATAAACACACTTTAGTATTGCCACAGAGGTACCCTAGACCACCTGTAAATAGCAGCTTATGATCAGGAATTTTAAAAGACTGCTGCTGGGGCTGGGGTATAGCTCAGTCAGTAGAGTGCTTGCCTCACATGTACAGCCCTGGGTTCAATCCCCAGCACCACCCCCCCCAAAAGAGATTGCTTCCACCCTCTATTATCCCTGAAAGTTCTGAGGGTGAACTAGCCAATTCCTGTCAAGGCAATTTCACATACTAGCATGACCTCTGAAGAACATATTGGTCTATCAAGCAGAATTTAAAAGGGCCAACTATCTCTCTGATCACTTGGCTCCCTAATTTGGAAAAGTCCACAGGCTGCTGAACAAATCCAAAAGTCAACTTAGCAGAGAAAAGGAATCCAGGAAATTTAGAATGGATCCTCTAAGATGTCAGAGGGAGAGATAGACACCTGAAGGTATAGCTCAGTGGTAGAACCCTTGCCTAGTATATGCAAAGATTCACTCCTCAGTGCCACCAAAAAAAGAAACAAAGAAAGAGAAAGGTGAGATATAAATTCCAAGCCTCACAATAAAAACTAATCATTGATCCATGCATGTAAAAGGCTCAGCAATGTCCAACACACAGCAGTAATGGCAATAGGTAACATTTAATGGACATTTAACCATAGTGAGCTGGATGCAATGGTGCATACCTATAGTCCCAGGGAGGCAAGAGGATCAAGTTAGAGGCCAGCCTCAGAAACATGGCAAAACTCTGTCTCAAAGTAAAAAAATAAATAAAAAGGGCTGGGGGTATGGCTCAGTGGTAGAGCATCCCTGGGTTCCATTCCCAGTATCATACACCCAAACACCAGCATAGTGAACCCTCAGCTACTCCCAGTCAGCAGCAACACTAGAGAAATATTTGAAGCAATTACCGACCTTGTCAAAGAAGTTTAATTTGGTTTTATTTTAGGTTCTCTTAACACAGGATGCCATACTTTGGATGTATTAAATGCAACAATCCCAAGGACACCTTTGAGGAATCAAAAAAAGGCTGAAAGAGTAGATTTCAGATAAAAATTAAAGAGAAAGAGCTAAAGAAGCATCCTCTTAAAATTACAAAATCTCTGGACTCCATAGGGAAAGAGTTAACTGCCAACTTAGTAAAGCCAGAAAACTTTGGAGTGAGCACATTAGTTAAGCAATGTGAAAAATCAGCAAAACTAGTTTGCCACGAGCAGCAGTCTCCCTGAAATAGGCTCTCATTTACTTTTCATTTCTTCTGCTTTCCAGTCTCTTCTCTTTGAAGCAGTTCTTGATTAGTTTCTTTTTTAATTGCCACTTAATTGGGGAACAAAATTAGAACACTTATTTGATATCAGTGATGAGGTTTCTCTTTTCACTTCTGCTTTGATCTAGTTTTGAAAAACCAAAAGCTGAAGGGAGAAATGAAGAAAAAGGGACTAAAAAGATTTCTTCTTTCCAAGAGTTGGATGCACTTATTAGTCATCAAGTAAACATGGACAGAACTACTTTTGGAGAATCTGAAAAAGAAAAACAAGTAAAGATAGCTTTATGGAATTTATTTTCAAAAGCCCATTCTTTCTTCTTAAGTTTCTTCATGGGCAACAATATCTTATGATAAGGAAATGAAAAAAGAACTTATGAGAATCCATGTCACCCTGCAACTGGGAGAAGAGTAGGATGGAGAAGAGACATCCCTTATCAAAGAGCTCTTGACCCTTTCCTTACCAGCATCTTAATTATTACTGATGATATTATAAAATAAATTCCAAAAGGATTCTAAAAACAAAATAGTCTAATTCTTTCTTGTTCTAAAACTTTATATTTGTTAAAATCCACTGCTCAAGGCGTGCATGGTGGTACAAGGCTGTAATCCCAGTGATTTGGGAAGCTGAGGCGGGGGGATTGCAAGTTCAAGGCCAACCTCAGCAATTAAGTGAAGTACCCAGCAACTCAAGGAGACCCTGTCTCAAAAAAGGGGGGGGGGGATGGGCAGGGGCTGGGGAGGTGGATCAAAGGTTAAGAAAAAAAAGTTTGAGACTGACTTAGGAGACCCTGTCTCAAAATAAAAAATTAAAGGGCTAGGGATGTTAACTCAGTGATAGAGCATCCCTGGGTTTAATTCCTAGCACAGAAAAAGGAAAAAACAAAATCCACTGTGAGCTGATGAGGTTTCTTTAGGAATACTTCTTAGAAAGCCTTTAATTTAAAAAGTGGCTGGGGAAGTAGCTCAGTGGTAGAGCACTTGCCTAGCAGAAGAGAGACCTTGGGTTCCACCCCAAGAACTACCCCCCCCACCAAAAAAAGGCAATTATGTGGATGAATCAGGAATTGCAGAGGGATTCAGAGATGCACAAAGATTATCTTAGTCTGACTCTAAATTTTTCAGAGTAATTTACATCAGGCAAGTTAATTGTGGGAAAAATGTTACCCTCTTTCCTCTGTTGAGTATGGGTTGGTTGGGTGATTTGTGGTACTGGGGATTGAACAAAGGGAACTTTTCCACTGAGTTATTTCACCAGCTGGTTTTCTTATATTTTGGGGGGATGCTGGGGATTGAACTCAGGGGTAATCGACCACTAAGCCACCTCTCTAGCCATATTTTGTATTTTATTTAGAGACAGGGTCTCACTGAGTTGCTAAGCACCTCACTATTGCTGGGACTAGTTTTGACCTTGAGATCCTCCTGCCTCATCCTCCCAAGGATTACAGACATGTACCACAATGCCCGGCTTTGTTATTTTTGAGATAGATTCTTGCTAAATTGCTGAAACTGACCTCAAATTTGCAATCCTCCTGCCTCATCTTCCCAGACTGCCAGGATTACAGGTCTACAGGTGTGTGCCACCGCACCCAGCTGAGTGGGTTGTTTTTTTTTTTTTTTTTTAAAACAGCCATAGAAAAACTGTACACAGATCTGGGTGTGGTGGCACATGCTTATAGTCCCAGATTGAGATCACTTGAGCTCAGGAAAGACTAGCCTGAAAATAGTGAGACCCTCTCTCAAAAACAAAAAAAGAGAAAAGAAAAAAAACTCTAGAAAGACACATAACTTTACCTAGGTATATGCATATATATGTATGTATTTATACTTATGTATGAAGTTTATACTGACCAAGTATTTATATTTATTTAATTTTAAAAGAAAACACTAATGACAAATGTCAAGAACTAAACTCCTACATAAAGAAACAACAAACTAGCACAGCTGCATTTCCTATTAATCCAGTGCAGGATTTCATTGGTAGAAAGCACTATGAACCCTCCTGGAAGAGATGCCCGAGAGAACAAAGTTAGCTTTAACTGTTATTAACCTTTATTGTGTGTGGTACTTAGAATCACTAGCTTCAAAAGGAGAAATTTCTACCAGGTACGGTGAGAACTTGTTTTAAAATCAAAATTTAAAAAGGGCTGGATGTAGCTCAGTGGTATAGTGGCCCTGGGTTCAATCCTCAGTTATTTCGAAAACAAAACAAAACAAAAAACACTGGAGTACTTCCACAACAAACTGGAAGTTGCTTGATTTCTGTAGGCAATTGACAAAAATTTTAGTGAGGCTTAAAATGAGACTTCTTGTGAAAAAAAAAAAAAGTGTGTATATAAGGAAAAAAAATCGAACATTTTTCCACTCAATGAGGGGAAGTGAAACTCCATTAACAATGAATCAGGCATTTGCCATTCATTTATCCAATATACTCATTAATACCCACTAAGTGCCAGGCATCTCGAAGAAACAATCCTGGTTCTTGTGCATCTTACAGTCAGGGAAGCAGGACTCGACACACAAAACAAAAATTTAAAATGTTACTTACTACTGTTATGCTAAAGGTTACAAAAATAAAGACTGAGATAAGAGCAGAGGACAAGATAGGGGAGGAACAAAAGGAGAGGGAGGGGAGCTGCAATCTATGTTTATCACTTAATCTCTAAAACTATGTTAATTTCCCAAGGTCAGAGGACCAGTGTCAGAATCAGGCTTTTGAAGCCAGGTTTGCATGACTCCAAAGTTTATGCTTTCCCCATTGTGGCATGTTGCTTCTTCCCAAAACACTTTCCTCTGAAAATTAATGGAAAATTTTTGACTCTATACCAGATTCTAAGTTCGAGAATTAGACTCTCTCCTTCAGACTGGGTTCTGTTTTTCAATTGTCACCTCATTCAAATTCATTTTTATAGATCTCTAGATTTGGGATACTAATAAAAGTAATCTGTTTGCTCAAACCATAACCACATACAGAAACAACCACCAAAAAATAAACAAAAATACACACAAAAGTTTTACTTGGTTTGGTTATAATCCACTACAAAAAAGAAAAAGAGCTGGTCATGGTGGCACACACATGTAATCCCAGTGACCCGGGAGGCTGAGACAGGAGGATCACAAGTTCAAGACCAGCCTTAGCAACTTAGCAAGAACCTGTCTCAAAATAAAAAATAAAACATCGTGTACAGGGGCTGGAGTTGTGGCTCAGCGGTAGAGTGCTAGCAAGTACAAGCACCACATAAAAATAAAATAAAGGTATTGTTTCCAACTACAACTAAAAATTTTTTAAAATATTGTACAATCAGAGAAATGAAAAGTTGTGCTGCAATTGTGTACAATGAATCAAAATGTATTCTGCTGTCATATATACTTAATTAAAATAAATAAATAAACTTTAAAAAAATTAAAAGGCTGGGAACATAGCTCAATGGTAAAGTGCCTCTGGGTTCAATTCCCAGTACCAAAAAACAGAAAAAGAATTTTCTATTACACAGATTTTTATTTTTCTTTTTCGTTTTGTTGATGGGGATTGAACCTTTGGCCTCCAACAAGCTGAGCTTATGCTCTATCAATGAGCTATACTACCAGCCACTTTACAGGGAACAAAATTTATTGGGGAACAAAATCTATTAAAGAACTATAGGCATCAGTCGGGGCAAGAATTCAGTTGAGAAAAATAAAAGTAATTACATAAAGAACAAAGAAAAAGCCATACTTTCACTTCTAAAATGACTCTCACATTCTGATCTCTACTCAAGAGGGCTGCCTTTTCCCTTCTTCTGGTTCCTGCTTCCTCTTTCTCGGCTCTTCCATTCTTAGGAATACCGAACATCAAAAAAAAAAAAAAGGTTTTGTTATGTTAGATCTGTGATGAGTTACAGCTACAGAATGCAGTCACAAAAATCAAACTTGGCAAGCTTCCTTTTCCTCTACATTCTTCTTGTGATTTTTTGTTTGTTTGTTTGTTTTCTCTTACGGGGGACTGAACCCAGGAACCACTAAGGACATCTCCAGCCCTTTTTTATTTTGAGACAGGATCTTGCTGATGGTCTCACTCACTAAGGTGCAGAAGCTGGCCTTGATCTTATGATCTTCCTGTCTCAGCCTCCAGTATTGTTGGGATTAAAGGCCTGCTCCACTGCAAGTGGCTTTCTTGTGATATTTCATGCTGGTGGAAGAACAAGGAAGCTAGATCTTTCAATCTAAATTTCACTACAAGTAGATTATCAAGCATTTAAATAATCCTTTGCTATTCCACATCTATAATGTAGCAGAATAAAAATATAAAGGTTTACCCAAAGACCTCAATCTACCATTAACTTCATATTTCCTGAGGGAAGGGCAAAGCAAAGAATAGGCAGTTACCACAGATGACAAGCTTGCTATAAAAATCAGACCACCACATATTGAGCAAAAGCTATATACCCAGAACATTCTCTCATGGCTTTCAGTTGGGAAAAAAAAAAAAGGTACATGTAAATTGAGAGAGGAAGGGTGAGTGCCAACAATGTGAAGAAAGATTAATTAAGCTGTGGCTTACAAAAGTGAAAACTGACTTGGAGAAAAAGACCTTAACACTCAAATATCTAGGGCATTTTTTTGTTCCCGAGGGAAAAATACAGTTACTAATGACAAGACTCTAAAGTACAGGATACTCAGTATTAAATCCACAGATATCAAATACTGACCAGTGTTTTGAAACTTTAGGCTACTTCACAAAGTTAACATAGCAAAGACTCTGGAAAACCTAATTACATGTCGTTCAGGAAACTTATGGATTATTTGGAGCAAGATACCATAAAAATCAAAACACCATACGATTAATTATGCAGGGTTTATAGGGTGAGTTTATATTCTGGAATTCTCTGGTAGTGATATTTTACAACATAATTATATATATGGTTTGTATACCCTGATGAATTTCCTCATTGAAGGTGAATTGCAACGAAATGTTTTATTATTCCTTCATTGCTAGTCACGTTGTTCAAAAAACACCTCAAGAAGTAACGTTCCCTCTCACTGTAGTTACTAGATTGACCCGTGTTGCGCCATCGAAAACCATCGTTCATCATGCTCTTTTCCACGGACGCGCCTGAAGCACACGAGTGGAACATTACACAGAACTTTTATATAATAAAAGTACTGAAGGTCTCTGGCTTTAATATACTGAGTGCCCACCCCTGGTAAATGACAAAGGCAGCAACCAATCACCAAGCGAGATCCTAATGTCTTAGCCAATAAGAACATGGGGGTGGGGTTAGATTAAGCTCCCTGTGACTTCCCCGCACCCCAAAGACCCAGGTGGAGGGAGACTGGATGAAAATTGAACTCCGAGGATTTCGTTACCCCCGGTTGTAGCTGTTGTCCTCCTCGTTCTCGCAATCGCTGCAGTGTTCATGGCCGTTTCCGTTCCCTTCCATCATCTGCGGCAGCTGAGGTACCGGCGGCTTCACTGCTGTCTCACTCTCGTCCGCCATCTTGGGTTGCGAGAGCCGGGCTCTGAGTCCCGCTACATGGGCGGCTCCTATTGGACGAAGAGCGCTTGCGCTGTAATCTGGGTTTTGTAGTTTTTATGAGAAGGGAGTTGCCAATGGGAGCAATTCTTTCCCGAGAAACCGGAACAAGGTGAACTACAGTACCCAGAAATCACGAAGGGAGGCTGTCCTGGTGAGAGGGTTGTGGAAAGCAATCCCGGAAACCCCGACGTTCGGCGGCCCTTGGAGGGAAGCAGGGCCGCAAGGTTGGTGGGGCAGACCCTTTCGTACCCGGGCGGGCGCGGGGCATGCTGGGAGTTGTAGTTCGGTGTTGGTTTAGGGTTTTGGGCGTGGAGGCTCCAAAGTCTAGGTTTGACTTCAGCCTGCCCCTGATAGATAGTTCCTGGGCCGCAGGTGAGCCGTTATTGACTGCCGTTAAGGACCGTTACTATTCTCGGGTAAGTGAGAGAGACAGGCCGGCGGGTGCGACTTGCCGGGACCCGAATGTCCAGCCCCTTCTCAGAGGGGACTTTCCTGCTAGAAGCCAGATCGGCTTCTGGCAGCTTTACTCATTCGGGATTCTAGACTACTCCAGGTCGTTGGCAGTTCAAGGCCTCATGAGAGGAGACAGGATTGTAGTGTGCAAAACACTGCCTCTGAGCCTGGAGATCCGACTGCTCAGCAGGCAGGGCTTGCTGCATCTTGACCTCCAGATAACGAGGTACTGGTCTCTGCAGAGCCCTTCTGCACATGTTGTCCCTTTTATTCCCTGATGTATACCCACAGGAGCCTTCCACTATTTAATGGGCATATGATCTTATCAACAAGCTTAGAATGTAGTTGCCATCATTCCCCTTTTTCGCAGACGTTAAAAACAAAGTGGCCCAGAGAGGTTGGTAAATCATTCAGTCGTATAGCTAGTAAGTGGCAACTAAGTATACAAATTTGGATCTGTCTGCCTCTAAGCCCTCTAAATTCGTTACCATCACAAAATTCCCATTGTCTGTTCCAGGCATCCACCTAAGGAAATCAGTTATTAGAAGATAATCTGCAGCATCTTAATTTTTAGACTCGAATGTTTCAGTCCCTTGGATCTCACTTCTTTGAGTAATCTCACCGAGTCTTGTAAATAGAGCACAAAGACGTGGTTCCTCTTCTCAGAGATTTCCTGTTCTGATTGGGTGTTGAGGAAAGGACTAGTTCTTACCATGAGAGAGTTGTGTGGCCAAAAAGGGAAATGATCTTTGCCTTTGTGAAACTCAACATGAGAAGAAGGACAGGGTGGGAAGAAACAGTTTCCATCTGACTCAGGGAAAGAAAACCAAATAAAATATAAAGCTAAATATAGTCAGCTCTTCTTATATTAGTCGGAGAAGCAGAAAAGTAAATATGATCCAAAGCTGCATATAAATCCCAATCATTTATACTTGACTTTGGAAGGAAGTCAAAGCTGCCTACTTGAGCTGAGATCTGTCACCACACTCATCTCTCCAGGGTCAAGACTGCTGTCAACATGATGTCATATATGCAACTGCAGGGGAAGGGAAGTTCTGAGATTATAATAATAAAACCTCACATGTGTTAGATGGGTTTAATTTGTCTAAATGTTTTATCTACTTTAGCACATATGACCTTGTGAAGTAAACAGGGAAGGGGCCTTGAAGAAACCAGTACATGCCAAAAAAAAAAAAAAATTTGACTGATACCCAATGGCAGAGCTTGGGCCAGAACTCACACTGCTATTCTAATTCTGAGCCCTGTGTTTTCTTTCCCCACAGACATACAGAGATTGAATGAACACTAATGAAGCATGACCAAGGAAGAGGGATTATAGGGAAGAAGGTGCTGGTTTCTATGAACATTGCCATTCTTGTAGTTAAAAGCCTAAGCAAGATATTTAGCCTTACATTTTAATGTAAACAGCAGTTTTTTGCTCAGTGAAGAGCTTTTCTGGGAGGTAGGCAAGCAGTGTTGCTGTCGTGACCAAACTGAGTAAAAGCCTAAGCCCAAAGTTAGGAATAGAGCACCACTGAGAATTCTGAGTTAGAAGGTACCTGGAGGCACTTACTTGCTTTCTCTTGGATTGTTCAAGTTATAACCCTTACTTAGATTTAAAAAAAAATTTTTTTTTAGTTGTAAACACAACACCTTTATTTTTATTTATTTATTTTTATGTGGGGCTGAGGATCGTACCCAGTGCCTTGCACATGCCAGGCAAGTGCTCTACCAATAAGCCACAACCCTAGCCCCTTCACTTAGATTTTGTAGGATCCATGATTTATCAATCATAGAATTGAATTTGTAGGTAGTAAGTATAGCCAGCCACATTGGTCTACACCTATAATCCCAGTGACTTGGGAGGTTGAGGCAGAAGGATCACAAATTCAAAACCAGCTTCAGCAAATTAGCAAGACCCTCAGCAACTTAGTGACTTGACCCTGACTCAAAATAAAAAAGGGCTAGACATGTAACTCAGTAGTAAATACCCTTGGATTCAATCCCCCATACAAGAAAAAAAATAGTATATGTTATCTCTTCTTTTTTTTTTTTTTTTAAAGAGAGAGTGAGAGGAGAGAGAGAGAGAATTTCCAACATTTTTTATTTTTTAGTTCTCGGCGGACACAACATCTTTGTTGGTATGTGGTGCTGAGGATCGAACCCGGGCCGCACGCTTGAGCCACATCCCCAGCCCATCTCTTCTTAATTAAATGTTTTTTAAAGCTTTTTTTGGCTATAATCCCAGCAGCTCTAGAGGCTGAGGCAGGAGGATTGCAACTTTAAAGCCAGCTTCTGTAACTTAGTGAGATCCTGTCTCAAAATAAAAAGGGTAGGGATGTAGCTTAGTGTTAGAGTACACCTAGGTTCCATCCCCAGTACTGCCAAAAAAAAAATTAAAGAAAATCCTTTTTTTGGTTTTGTTTTGTTTTTGTGGTGCTGGGATGGAACTCTGTGTCTCTAATATGCTAGGCAAGCAATATACTACTAAGCTACATCCCCAACCCTGCCACTTATCATCTGATGCCTAAGTTTACATTTTGTTTTATAGTCAATTAGCAAAGAATGGTCACCCAAAGCCAGAGTTTCTAAATTGGGTTTAAGGATGATTTCCATGGGATTCCAAGAATTTTTGTATGTGTTCTTTCTCATTTGCCTATAAAACAGCTTTCCACTTTCAGATAGCTGTAATTGCTGAAAAGTTGGCCATTTCTGCCTTATGCAGTTATGCAGAAATATGTAATCTTGTGTCCTTGTAGATAGTTGCTACACTTTCTGCAAATATTATCTAGCTCTCTAAAATTCTTTCTTTTTTTCAAGGTAAAACAATCCCAACTCTCTGAGCTTATCACATGAGAATGGTGGAACTCTTCCTTCTGGCCCTGCTGGTTCGTTCTCCCACCCATTCTGGCAGGAACATCATAAGAAGATAGTAGGTAGTGAGGTACAGCAGGGCTCAGAAGGGTGGCTGGGGAACATGCCCATGAAGCTTTAGCTTACAGATTCTGAAATTTTCTCCTAGTTGTGAATACCTCCATTATCTCTTCATGATTGTTATTGGAGGCAGCAGAGTATAGTGGTTAGGAGTATAGGCTCCAGAAAGTGACTCCCTGGGTTCTAAGTCCTGGCTGTGTATCTCTGATTAATTAATGGTTTCAATGTCATATATATTCAATATCAGGGTACAGTGGCACATGCCTGTAATCCTGGTGCCTCAGGAGGCTGAGCAAAGGGGACTGCAAATTTGAGGCCAGCCTGGGCAACTTAGCAAGACCCTGTCTCAAAATAAAAAGGGCTGGGTGTGTAGCTCAGTGGTATAACACCCCTGGGTTAAATTCCTAGTGCCACTTAAGAGCCGGGGAGGCTGAGAATGTAGCTCAGTGGTAGAAGTGGGTTTGATCCCTAGAACCACAAATAAAGAAAAGGAAAGCAGGAAGGAAGGAATAGTTGCTCATAGTGTCCATTATTGATTGAAGTCCTTGATATCCTCCCAGCATATCAGAGATAACCCTTTCTTGTAGGCATAGGAAGGATGAGCCAGGTTGTGATTCATACGTTCTATATCTTAGAGCACTCATGACATGTTAGGTTCCATGGCCAGAACTGGAGAATCAGGCATAGGATAACAGTTCCTGCCCTGGGTTCACTCCACAAATTCGTAGGTATCCAGACTAATAGTTACAGTGCAGTACATAAGGGAACGTGGATTCCAGCAGGAGCCCAGAAGAGGGTTCCCTAACCTGAGGAAATGACAGCTGAGCTGAGTTTTCCAGGGAAAGCATACAGGTAGATGTTCTAGACAGAAGATGTGAAAGTGCAGATGCCTGAGAGAAAGGTATTTTTGAGGTACCACAATGAGAATGATGAGACTGGAGGTTGGAGTGTGAGGAGCATTTCGGGAAGTTGAGATTCAAGAAGCAAGCAGGAGTTGGGACATGGGACAGGAGTTTGGCCTTCATCCCAAAGACTTGGAGGCCACTGATGGATTTTTAGCTGGGGAGAAATAGGATAAAATTTTTGTTGGCTAAAGGTCATACTGGGCAGCAGCCTGCCCGTTTAAGGCAAGAGCATTTTTTTTGCTGTGAAGAATGAGGGCCAGTGGATTCAGTGTGCAATAAAGGATAGGAAAATGGCCTTTTGCATTTTCTTCTCTCCCCTGGATCTTGTCATCAAGAAGGCACTCCTTGTTTCCTGAGATACCCGGACACCTAGGCCTGTAACACAGTGGGCCCAGCGTTTTTGATGCTGTGGTTTTAAGAGTGTGTCAGGCATTTCCTGCCCAAAAGGCACTTAAGGTAAAATCAGAAAGACCAGATGCACTTAAAAATAAAATAACAGGGGCTGGGGATATAGCTCAGTGCCACAGCTCTTGCTACCATGTGACAGCCTTGGGCTTGATCCCTGGTACCATCAAAATAAAAAAATTGAGAAGGTAAGTGAAGTTGAGGGTGGGAGTGCATATCTTTGGGGCAGGGTTGTAGCGAGGGTAAGATTCCTGAAGACAGCAGACTTTGA